GCGCTGTATGGTTACTTTCCATTCAGCCAACGGCGGAGGCTGCATCAAATCTGGGCCATTCAAAGAGTACGCTGATCGAACCTGAACTAGATCGATAATTGGCTAATTGAAACAGCTGGAAGATCAACCTAGGTCCGATCCAAACCACGGTGAAAGACGCCCCACCGAACCCGCAAGCCGATGGTCTCGGCTACAATCCTCGCTGCCTAAGTCGCGATATCAGCACACAAGCGTCGAACGAGACACGAGATGAGATGGTCGTAGACCTCATCAAAGACTACCCCGATATCCTTAGCTTCCAGAACAAGATGCAGAACTTCACTCAAGGGGTTATGGGCGTTCACAATGGAGGACATTACACGATCGGAGGTGACTCTGGAATGGATATGTATGCTGCACGCTGCCTGACTATCATCGGTAGCCTAAGACATGTACTGACTGAAGCGCAGGTTCAACTCCCCAGCAGACCCAGCCTTCTACTTCCACCACGGCATGATCGATCGCGTTTGGTGGACATGGCAGAACCTCGATTTGAAAAGCCGGCAGAACAGCATCGCCGGTACCATGACCTTTCTGAACAACCCACCGAGCCGCAATGCCACTCTTGATGACGTGCTCAGCGTGGGGTATGTCGGTCCACCGAACATTACCATCAAAGACGCTATGAGCACGATTGCAGGGCCGTTCTGCTACGTGTATGCTTAGTTCAGATGGTCAATAGTATTCAAGAGCAAGTTCATAGGCTCCAAATGTTTGTATAGCACCATCGATGCTACATCGCACTACGTTCTACCTGTCATTGATGCAAGAAAGTAATGAATTCCGCAGCATCATCGCCCAGCCCACACAACTCGTTGAAGTTCCCAGCTTCCTCTCCCTTCTTTTTGGTTCTCTCGGCGAAATCTGCCAGTGGACAACTCTTTCCAGGACCACTTTCGCACCCCGGTATAGCGGTAATGCCGTCGTTGATATTGAGTCTGACGAACTTCTCAGGTGGTGATTCGAGTTTGGTCTTGCAGGATAGTAGTTCGAAAATGATACGGCCTCCCATCGGCGACACCTGAGACTTCCGCCATTTGCGATCATGGGCGATGTGAGTTATGGGAAGGTGTTCACGGTCATTGATGACATCGAGCGCAGTCATGAGTGGCGCTATGTCACCGTCATGGACACTTGTGTTGAGTCAGAATTGCTAGTCCCCATGGTTTGTAGCCTCCATAGTTCGAAGAAAGACTCACAAGCTGAAGAATAATGGACCAGCGCTTGGGCCCTCGAGTAGCAGGTTCGTTGTAGCATTCAACCACAGCCATCCCATACTGGTGGCATACCTTTGACCTGGGCCTGCGCGATAATAATGCAGAATGTCTCGCGCATATTCAAAGCTGAGGAACTCGTCTCGAGTGAAGACATCACACCAGTCGCTGCGACCGCGTACTGTCGTCTCGAAACCACACATCTCCTGCATAGCGTAGATCTCGTGGTCGTCAAAGCTCATGCCTGTCTGGTTGAGTAATCGTTCGCGGATGGCAGGCATATATGTGGCCCGGTACTCGTGCATCAGACGATAGCCCTTCTGTTGGCCTTCTGCTTTGTCTTTCTTGTTGGCCAGACATGTTCGTCCGGGTGTTAGAGTATCTGCACCAATCGAAGAATGTTCGGATATGACCTGAAGGGTAGCTGTATTGCTAGTGTTATAGTCGATGCCGAAGAAGCCTGCGGCGAAGTGCTTAGCTGTCTCGATAACACGATTGGAGTCGCTAGCCCAGAATGTGGTAGGCTTGCTGGAAGGGGTGAAATCAGCTTGCTCCAGAAGATGCTGGTAACGTGTACGCAGACGAATGCCGGTGGTGAAAGAGGAAAGTATACCCGCGAAAGGCCCAGTAGTTGTCAATTGCTCCAGCTGGGTATCGTCTGAAGACCAGAAGAGCTCCCAATTATTGAAGAATGCCAAATCGCCCTCAAAATTCTTGTTACTGTCTTTCATGCGCTGAACGACTGCTTTCTGCTTCCTACCCGCTTTCTTGGTAGGATAGCGCTCAGCATGCCTAGACATCATGTGGACCTGGACCACCTCGCATCCCTCCGGCGGAGCAACACCTCCGTCAACGACATCGATGATCTTTTCCACCCATGGCCCATTTCCACCGAGATGGTACAAGATATTCCAAGCTTTTGTTACAGCTCCTGCACCGAGGCCGTGGTCGATCTCCACGCCATCGCTTCGCTGAGGATGAAACCAACTATCCCAGCTCGAACTGTAAGGCTTATCGGCGCAGCCATCGCCAAGATATTTGGATCGAGATACTTCGATGTTTGATCGGCATGATGAAGGGCATGTGGTTAGGCCGAGCGCAGAGAGAACCAAATTCGGATACATGCTCTGCGCGATCGATACTACGGCCACGATGGTTGCTGTCAAGGCAACCCATTGCGACCGCGAAGGCATCGTGGCCCGGGAGAAGAATGTTGACGTGTGTTATGCGAAAGAGCGAGGATGATCAGAGAAAGTCATCTTCGTTGACGCTCGATGACAACACGGCTCGGGCGGTGAGACTCTCAAACGCTCGTTCCTGCCCAAGAGTGGGTCGCAGTTCTTGCCCCAACACTCCGTATCTCTTGAGTATATGCGTCGGCATACTTGCAGTTGCTTTTGGTAGGGTGTTGGCCCGGCTGTGGTGCGCAACGCTTGGTTCCTTCCAGTTGAGAAGAACGCGGGCGCGTCACCCACGATCGATGACGCAGGGCGCGTGGTGGGCCTCGGCACGCCGATCGCTCTCCAAGTTCGCGCCTTCCGCGTCGCTCCCACCGCGTACACAAACGACTGCACAGGTGCCCTGCAGTCTACAATAGTCGTGAGAACGAAGCTCGACGAGATATCAAGGGAACGTAGACTTCTGGGTCAAACATAAGGCAAAACTATGAGAAAAGCTATACACTAATCTTCACTCTCAGCTTCTTCGCGACTTCCCGCACCTTCTCCACATCCACACTCCTCGTCTGATCCGGAACCACCTTCCCCTCGAACGCGCCCCCAGCTTCTGCAATCAACGTCTCCAGCCCATCTCCACTAGCATACGACCAGAACCTCACATAGCAATCCACAAACTCCACCGCCACCTCCGTCCCAGCTGGTATGAAAGCCGTCTCGCCCGCCCGAACCAAATGCCCTGCCTCGCCGTCCACCGTGAGCGAAAGCGCCCCATCGAGTACATAGTACACCTGATGTACTTTGTCAAACATGAATCCCTTACTCAACACCGAATTCTTCAACTCGCTCCCAGACTCGATACTTGTGATGGCAAAGTTGCCCGACGGCCCTTTGCTTTGCTTCGTGGTGATGAAAGGCCTTGACAGCACGCCCTCGAGTAGGAAACACGGGCCAGTGTTCGCTTTGAGGAAATACGCTTCCTGACCCTCTGGTAATACGCATTCCCCCTCTTCAAAATTCGCCACCTCTGCGCCCTGGAACTGCGGTTGGAAAACCACATCAAACCGTTCTTTGATTTCGCGTATCTTAGGTCCAAACACAGCGCCCGTATTCCTATCGTCAAACTCGTCACATAGCACACCGCCGTAGTCTTCTCCCACGAACCGGAAGAAATCAACCCAATCCCCCGGTGTCACAAGGCCCATCGATTCGTTAGGCCCTTGATCCAGTAACTGCGGCTGGTGCACGACACCAGGTGGTACGTAAGCAAAATCTCCCGGGTAGAGTATGCGGCATTTATCTCCAGCCCATATCTTCAACCGTCCTTTTGTGCACATGAAGACGTCGTGGGCGTGGTTGTGGTAGTGGAAGCCTGGGGGGTCGGATAGGACGCCGTCTTGGCCGAAGACGCTCATAGTGTTGTTAGTCTCGGCGGCGGAGCAGAGGATGCGGAAGACGGCTTTTGTGCCAGGGATGGTTAGGTGTTCGCCTGTGTGAGATGGGAGGAGGTAGGGTGTTGGTGCTCCGGCAGGGAGGGAGACGCGGGGGAGCTTGGTTTGTTGGGTTGCTGGTTTGAGGGGAGGAGAGGGAGGTGGCATGATAGAGTCGTTGCGGGAGAGGGTTGGGGCGCCTGTCGTCGCCATGTTGGATATTGACGTTGAGAGGGTTGTGCTTTGACGAGAGCTGTGTATGAAGCACAACAGTAGGCCGGTCCGCAGTATGTCAAGGGATATCCAGTAGAAGCCAGTAGGTCAGCTTTTATACAGCCACCAGGTAAACATTTACCCACACGTAGATCTCTCCTTCATACATACCCATCTGTACACCCCATCACAGCATAGCTAACACCATCGTGTGATCCACCATACATACTCTCTCCACAACAACATCTGCCGATAGTTCCCCAGACATCGCTATACCTCCCACCGAGACCCCGGACAGCGGTGTGTATACGGCAAGCATACTACGCACATCCCAGTATCTGATGACTGATCACACTGAAAGGGAACACAACGCAAGACACACACCAACCACAGCAAAGTCATAAAACGCTTCTCCACAATGTTTAATCCACGCTTAGTAGTGAGGCAAAGCGCTTGTGTTCAAAAGAGATGGAATGAGACAAATGTAGCTAGCCTTCACCACAATGATAGGGCTGACGCCGCGGTAGCGTCTGGAGGTTCGGCAAGTGGAGAGAGTGTGCCGATGATATACCCTGTCGTGTCCCCAACTTTATTGCGAGTCGGCAACACAACAAGATCCGCCGACTCCATGCACAACAATCCACGATGCTTTACACGGGCTACATTCGGTGTCGTTGGGCCATCGTTTGATCTGCTCCATACATGTCGGCAAGACGATGGTTTCGCACTCCGATGTCACCGATGACCGAGTCTGTGTGCGTCCGCAAGATGTGCCGGACACGTTCATGTCGTTTCCCAAAAGAGATGAAGCAGCGAAATGGATATCTACATTCATTTGGATATCAAGACTACATAAAACAACGTGACGACACCTCAACGCCTCTCCCTTTTTACCATACTACTACCGTAAATGCATCTGCTCATCCCACCTACTTCGGCCCACTCCACTTCCCACTGGGCCCGTTGCCCCTCCCTCTAAACCCACCACCACCACGAGCACCGCCTCTACCACGTGGACTCCTCATCTTTTCGACTCTTCCCTTGCCTCCCCTGCCTTCTCCACCGCTGACATTGCCGCCCCTTGTGCGTTCCTGTCCTAGGCCACGCCGCTGACTCTTTTGGCCAGCGCCGCTGCTCTTCACACCACCCCTACCCATTCCAGAGCCGGATTTCGCCTTTCGCACTTCTTGCCAATCAGCTTCGCCGCCGTCGTCATCCATGTCCATTTCGTCGTCTTCGTGTGTGCGCTTGTTGCTGAACTTGAGACGGCCTTTCTGACCTTGCTGGGCGGTGTCGCGGCCGCGGATGGCGTCTACGTAGGCGTTGATGCCGGCTTCGAGAGATGTGTTTTGGTCGTCGATGTCCATGAGGACGTCTTCGTCGGGTACTTCGTGCTTCTTGGACTTCTTGCCCTTTGCCGGGGCTTCCTCGTCCGAGTCGGCGATGATGAGCTTGCCGTCCTCGTTTGTGCGGGCGTTCATCTTCTGTGGCTGTTTGCGTTGGCGCAGGGGTTTCGTTGAGGAGATGTTACCAAGAGCGTTCTTAGAGAGGAGATCAAGCGGCTCATCCTCGTCTTCGATGATGTATGTGTTGCCGCCCTTTGCGCCTCCCCGCTGTTGCTTGCTCTGACTCTTGACGAATTCGTCCTCAGAGTCGCCGTCGCTCTCTTCGCTTTCACTGCCGTAAACAGCCTGGTCGTACTCGCTCTCAAACTTGCCCTTTCGCTTTTCGGTGACCTCTTCACCATCCTCTGTAGCTTGTTGCTTCTTCTTCTTGCGCTGTTCGCGTGTCTTACGGATGTTGGTGATGAGTTTGCGGTCTTCGACAGGTGTGGCACGCTCGACTTCTTCTACGCCAAACTTCCGGACCATTCTTTCGACGATATGCTTGACCTTGGCTTTGAAGTGCGCCTTGTGTTCGTGACTCCAGACCATAAGGCTCTTCAGCAAGGTGTTGAGACGTGGTCGTACAAGCGATTCTGGTAGCGTGATAACCTCGACCTTGACGAAGCCGAGAACACTGCGTACGATCTCGCGGTTGGGGTTTTGAAGGAAGATGTCCATGAGGTCGCAGAGGTGGGTAATGGACTCCTTAGAGATCTGAGCGTGGAACTGGTAGAGGATGCGAGTGACGGCGGTGATAGACGCAGAGATCATGTGCGGTGTAGTAGCAGCTAGACCGGCCGACACCATGGTGAAGTACTCTTCAAGCGAGGCCTCAACAGTTGGCGCATCGGCGGGCATGTTGGGTACCTTGGCTTGCACAACCTGACCTCCTTCGGCCATCTTCTCACCCATAGCGACAAGCAGATTGTAGGCTGCCTCTCGCGCCTTCTCGTTTGTCTCTTTGGCAGAGATGACTACCTCGGAGAGAATGGCGGGGATGAAATGCAGATCGCTCTGAGGGAGGGATTCGATAACTTGGTACAGCGCGTTGAGTCTGTCGCGTCGCGCAGGAGCGGAAGCCTTCTCCGCGCTTCCTAGCAACAATTGTTGCAATTCACCGTTGCGCTCCTTCAAAGCTTCCTTGCCCATCTCGGACTCCGCAAGACGAGGAATGAGCTTGTATGCCTTCTTCTGCAGCTGGGGCTCGTTCTCTCTGTTGATCATGATTTCGGCCATGCGGAACAGTGAGCGGTAACTATCGCGTGGGAGGTACAGGGCGATCGTGATTATGAGATCCATCAGGGTGTGGCTCATTGGCGGCATCTTGTTGGGGCCCGTCTCCTGCTTCTGCTTAGCAGCCTGCGTCTGCGAGCCAGGCTCGGGCAAAGAAGCCTCAAGGTTAGATGCAACTCGCTCAAAGGTCTCCATGAGCTCGCGCTCGGGTATGATGCTCAGGTAAGCGTTGATGGTCCGGAGGATAGTGCCGCGATACTGTGGCAGAGTCTGGCTGTAGACGTTGAACAAGACTGCGAGCATGTTGCTGGCGAAACCGGCTAGATGCTCAAGGTTCTTCTTTGCATCGGCCTTGGATATCCGGGCTTGCGCGAGCAGATCATCGTCAGACTCCAACTCCACGATCGCCTTGTTACTATCAACCAAGTTCTGAAGAGCCCGGCAGACATCCGTTCGTAGATCAGCCTGACCGTAGAGCAAGTTTGCCAGCATTTCGCAGAAGCTCTGGTCGAAAGCCTCAACTAGGTCCAAAGGCAGGTCGCAGTATCCGGGAAGAATCGACCAAATCTGCTGTACAACTGTCTCGAACACTTTGATCTCCATTGTCTTCTCTTTCTCGCCGTGATCAATAACCTTCTGGTACAACTCCTCGCTCAACGGCACCATCTCGGTTCTGAAATGGGCCAGCTTGGTGTTGTGAACTGAATCGCGGAGAAGCGGCAGCATCCAAACTCTTCCGGTTTGGCCTGGGGGTGGACGCGGTAGGTTCAAAGGAAGAATGTCCAATACAACATCAGGGCCCATTGCGCTAATGGCTCTTGAGATGACTGAATCCGCCTCCTTCTTGCCTGCAAAGCTGTCGTTACCCCTCAGATCTCCAACCACCTTCAACACAGGCTTCAGAATGGGGTCTGAGCGCCACCTGAGAGTCTCAAACATGGCAGATAGCACGCTGAAGACCTCCATCCATGCCGCCTGGTATTTGACGCTCAACAGATCTTGCGCAATCTTGGCCACCTTCTCAAGTGTCTTCTCGTCGTATACGGAGGGCTCGAGGACGACGCTGTCGGGGACGAGGTTTACGAGGAAGGAGATGAGGCATTCGGAAGCGGAAATGCGGATGTTGTGCGACGAGGATGTGAGGAACTCGGCGATCATGGTGAATAGGTCGGGTAGCTTCATGAATGTTTCCTCTGGTTCAATTTGCGCCGAGACTTCGTATCCGCGCGAGATGACTGCTATCCACGGGGGAAGTAGCTGCGAGTCGTTCTTGGAGGGCTGTAGTTCGGAGATGACCTCGAGTAGTCTGGGAAGCTTAGCAGAAGCCAGTTCGTCGGCCATGCCGGCGAAGATGACCTCGAAAATCTCGAAAGCGGCCATGGTCAAAAACTCGTTGGTCGACTTGGAGATGTTCAGCAACAGCTCGCACAGCACGTCGATCTTGCTGCTCGGCCAGCCACCAGACGAAGTCGCAATCGTCTTGATGAGCTGTAGCGCGTGGATCAGATCGGGGTCCTTGTTGTCCACGTCCTTCTTTCCCTTGTGTTTCCGCGCCTTGGCGGCTGCCTCTGCTGCGATGTCCTTGAGCATCTTCTGGGCTGTCTCAGCGCACATGTCGGCTGCCGGGTGGTCCAGCGCAGGGCTCGGCGGCGGGTTCGCCAGCACCTTCTTCAATGCTTCTTGCGCCCTCTTCCGCACTTTCGGCCTGTGGTCGACGGAGATCTGCAGCAGACCCGCGACCGCTCTGCGCGGGCTGATGGTCGTCTGCGGCAGCTCCCAGGCGCGCGCATCCTGCACGACCAGCAACGACTCGAGACATCCTATCGAAGACCGGATCAGCGGCGCATCGGCGTCCTGGGCTGTGAGGGCGGGGGCGAGGTTGGTGAGGATGTCGGTGAACTTGCTTCGCAGCAGCGGGGCGGGGACGTTGGGGGTGACGAGGTCGAGGAGGTAGATGGTGGCCGTCGCCGTGTCCTTGTTGGCGATGCCCTGCTCGGTAATCTGGCGGCCCAGCAGCGACAACAGCGCGGCAAAGTAGGCCGTCGGGGTGAACTCTGACTTCTGCTGGCGGAGCGTGTCTTCAATGGCCGAGAGCAGCACATGCGTCTGGAATGGTTAGGCTACAACGGCGCAGGAAAGGGAAAGCGCGACATACGTGCTGCTGGCCCTGCAGCTTCGGGCTGTCCCGGATCTTGGTCAGTCTCTCCTCGAGCGACATGACGGGCGTTGTTGTTTCTAGTTGACTGCGCTGCGCTGCGACATTTCACATTTTCGGCCTCGAAACTTTTTGACATGGCAGGGATCTTGCCGCACGCTATCGATAGCCCGCACGGCCCCCAGACCCCACCGGCTCCACCGCCTTCACTCACTGCACCCAGCACCCACGTCAGAGACATCGTGTCGATTCAACTGTATATTGCAATCGCTGGCTTTTCGCAAGGTATCATGCGCTAATCCGCACACGAAGACAACTAGGGTATAACAAAAACATCGCCCCTCCTTGTACAAAATATGCGTGCCTCGCAGGTATCCCCGTACGAATGTGCCCATCGAACCCTTCAAATCGCCGGTAGGCCCCCTATAGTCCCAACTCTATTGAATCCAAAGCATTAGACAACGCGCAGGCTGCCGCGAATACAAGACAAGCGTCATGTGCAAAAGTGATTAAACAAAGAAAATAAAGCTCTACTCCTCCACCAGGGTATCATCCACGCGTCCCCGCACACTGCTCTTGCTGCTCTTCTTCGAGATGTTCATGAAGCTGAGCCTCTTCTTTACGCTGTCGGTCCGTGACGACAGCGACTTGTCGCTCTTCTGACTCTTGATCGTCTCTGGTCGCTTTAGGCTGGGCTGTCGCTGAAGACTGCCTTCGCTTCGATTTGGCGTAGACTGGCTGGGGAAGCTCGGTAACGCCTCTGGTTGTGGCGAGCTTGGGGTATGGTTGAGGAAGCTCAAACTCAGACGGTTCCTGGTATGCGTCTCCTTGCTGCGACTTCGTGATGACACTGTCGTCGAAGTGTCATCATCCACCGATGGCTTGTCAGCCTTTGCTTCCTTCTCTTTCTCCTTCTCCTTCTCGGGTTCACCCATGAGGAACTCCTTTGTCAAGAAGGCTAGACTCAGTCGCTTCTTGTCTTGTCGTGAAGCCCGACCGTTGAGTACCGGCGAGGCACCCCTGTCACCGTTGACCTGACTTTGGTCTGGCGTTGGGCTGGCGACCTGGGAGCGAGAGGTGGCCGCTGCAAGCCATGACCCAGTGGGCGAACGTAACGTGGGGGCCATGTTCGGTGGCAGTAGCGTGGATAGTTCGCGGAAGAAGGCGGATTCAAATCCTGACATAGTTAGTTATCAATCAAAGTGTGGTGAAGACAGTACATACGCTGTGTGAGGTCTGACTTCGTGGCTTGCTGAGCAGGCCTCACGTACAACGACAGGCAGCGACGGATGACCAGAGCGTAGTCAATCAGGGCAACCCGCAGTCCGTTCTCAAGCGGGTTAGGCTGTTGCTTCTCATCCTCGTCTTCCTCATCATCTTGTGCATCCGCGGGTGGAAGCAAGTCATGGTAGTTTGCAACGCAATCTTTCGAGTTCGTGTCCACGGCGTACATGAGTTCTTGCGTCAGTGTGTTGAATGTCGTGTCGTCACCATCGGTAATTCGTTTCTCAATAGCAAGCAGCTCCCCGGTCTTGCGTGATGTTCGCTCAATGGCCATTTGTAGGGGTGTGAGCATTACTGTACCAACCGCTACAATCTCGCTCCTCCGCAGGATTGTAGGGAAGTTCTCCGCTGTTGTGTAAAGAGTCTTCTCCGCGCCGGCGTCCCTGGCGTTGACAGTGGATGGTGACCGGCGAGAGGCTGATGTGAAGTGCGATGGGCGAGACAGCAGGTAGTAGTCCTTGACTGACTGGGAGACCTTGGCTCGTTGATAGATCGGATGAGTCAGGTCCTTCTGTGGGCTTACAGGGTAGATCTGCAGGTACTGCCCCTCCAGGTCTTGCCCGTCACCGGGGTTCACGATTTGTGCTGAAGGGTGTTGCTGTTGCATTCGGTCCGTGAAAGATGCCAACCGGTCGTTAGCAGAACCCTCGAAGATGAATTGCTTGTCCCGAAGCCCTGGTGGGAAGCCCAAGCCCTTGTATACCACGCGGAAGTAACGCGGGTTGGAGCGCTCGCCCTTTGCAATGTTCTCGTGGATTTTCGCCATAGCATGCTGTGTCCTGGCCAACTTGGCAAAGTCGAATACATTGTGCTCGTATTGCGCTGCAAGCTCCGTGTAGGCGGCCAACGCATTGTTCCATGACTGTCCAGTCTCGTAGTGATCGATCATCTGGAAGTAGAGCTGTTCTTTCCGCTCGAACGCAGGCTGTGGCGGCATGCTGGGGTCGGTGAGCGGATCTGTGGTCGAGTTCGGGTCCCATTCGTAAAGCTCGGCGTGCAGTCTGAGCGCAAGACCTGCCTCGGTGTAGTTTCCTGCATCCACTTGCAGTTGCACTAATTGATGCACATAGCGGATGTAGATGTCTTCCTTTTGCATGTCTTTCAGGAACTCCATAAGATGGAGAGTGTCCATAATATGGAAGACTTCGCCAGCCGCGTCCGTGCTATGCACAGCAACCAGGAGGTCCAGGAGTTCATCGATGGTCGAGATAAGGTCCTTCAAAGCGGCGAGTAACGGTTCTTCCGGATCTTGGGCAAGAGGCTCGAACAGTTCTACTAGCTCCTGGATAAAGTGCTTTTGCAGAACCGCCTCAGTCAGATGTTTGGTCTTGAACAGGTTGTCCAGGCAGTCGATCATCTCCGCTTGTATGAGAGCGAGGTCTTCGCTCAGCGTCCACTCGCTGATGATCATCGTTTGTAGAACCTCGATGGCTACACTGCGGAGACCCTCATGCACGCTGAGGCAGAGTTCAACAATGGGTGCGACGAGGCCTGGCACATATTGCACCTGGAAGCCGCCCATCTTCTCCAGCCCGTACTGGCCCTTGTCCTCTGCACTAGCCTCCCAGCCAATCGCTTCCCAACTGCGTTGTAGCAGATCTGCGCCATGTTCGCGGACATCGCCAGCAATTTTCCACACTGCGCGTCGCTTCTGCTCCGGGAAGGTCTCCAATGCAAGAGCGTCGCTACCGACAAGTTTCAGTAACGCGTCAAAGAACGCTCGCCACAGCTCTGTGTTGAAGCTGTCTGCCTCGTCGGGAAGAGGGAGGAAAGAGTCGTGGAGGATATTGAACAATTTTTCCAATGCGCGCATGGTAGCCTTGTGGTGATAGATGTGCACACTGAACCACGAGCTAGGGTAGGCTTCGCAATCCAGAATGGAGATGTAGACTTGCAGTACCGAGAACAGAAATTCTGCTGTTTCTTCCTTGGGTAATTCCGGGTGCAAAAGTGTGGGAAGACTAGACATTGCCGCAAGTACTGCCGATATCTCTGCCAGTGCTTCATCGAATGGAGTTTCAGCAGTCGCAGCCCGCGACTGGAATGGATAGCTTGTTGGGAAGAGAAGCGAGAGTGTCTTCTTGGCTGGTCGGGGGGTTGCCTGAATGGCGCGATATGAGTCCACAAGCTTTGGCATGTATTCACAAGCTTCTTTTCCTAGCTCTTCGACTTGCGACGCAACGACAGAACAGCAGAGACGAACTTGGTCCTTCCATTGATCGGTGACGGTCTCCACTCGACCCCAGTACGGGGCTAACCACTGGACAGTGCTTGTCAGAAGCATGCGACGTACTTCTGGAGATTTGAATATTTGGAGACCGGAGAGATGGTGGATCAGGAGAAGCTTGTACAGGATGAGCTTTCCCTGCACATTTGAGCAAGAATCCAGGAAGCCAGCCGTCAGCTTGAAGACCTCAGTCGCTGGCATGCACCCCTCGAGCTCCGGAAGCCAGGAATGCAAGTTCTGTACAAGGAGAGTCTTGGTACCGATGAGGACGGGCGAGGGGTTTCCCATGAGAGCCTCTAATGAGGTGAAGAGTACCCTCATCTCCTTGCTGAACTGAGTCCGGTCTTTGATGCCAATACTCTCTTCCTTAACCTTCTGCTTTTCTCGCGCATTGACCAGGAATTTCATGATGAGGTTGCCGACCTTGAAAGTTGCGCGCAGCCGTCGAGAGCTCTCGGAATCTGTAGGCTTGGCGAGCAGTCGGCCCAGACTTTGCATGAGACATGATGTAACGAGAGAGTGGAATGATTTGGTCCGCGCATACTGATCCACCAATGGCTCAAGGTTGAACCGTCTGTCGTGCACTATGCCCAGTACAATGACAACAGCATTGAAGACGAGATCCTCGTACTCATCGCTTCCGGCATAATGGCTTTGTATAGCGAACAGGGCGTCGAACACTTCGCTCAAGAGCTTGACGATCTCAATCTCCGGAACGAAGTTGAAACGGCGCAACAATCCTACAAGCTCTCCTGGCGGCTGTTCCTGCCATTTGATGAGACCGAGTATGGTCGGATCTTGGGAGTATCGGGTACTACAAAGGAACGTCTTGACGTGGACAGATGCCATTGGACCCATGACATGGTCATCCTTCTTCTTCGCACTCCAAGGTAGGCCAAGGTATGCTCCCTTTCCAGCGATCATGCCTGAGGTGTATTCGTCGTATCTGTACAGCGTCAAAGCATGGTCGCCATCGCGGGCGAAGGCATCCTGGTTCCAGAGGGGCATCCAGCAAAGCGCAAATGGAAATCCGGGGGCATCGGCAATGCTCATAACCAAGTGTGATCCGGGAACATCCTGGGGGTCGATAGCAAGCCGGACTGTCGCGTTCCATCCCTCGCCTCGCTGGGCTGCTGTAGTGCGCCATGCGGTATGGCCTGCACTGTTAGTTGACGGGTATATGCACCCCTCAATGCGCTCCCCAGAGCTCTTACGGACCTCTATGGTAAGCTGGAGGTTGGTCATTTGAGAGGTTTGGATTAGCGGGACAGTGCCAGTCTTTGGGTGGGCCAGAAAGGCGTTCTTTGGGAGGAAAGGCTCGACGAGCGTGAGGTAGATGTCGCTGCGTGGCTTTGTCGGAGCCCCCGAGAAACCAATCTTGCGACACTGCCTAATGTTGTGCAGCATCGTGGGGATCTTGGCGATGAGGCCCTCGGCGTCTGCATGGACGAAGGCTTTCATGTGTATGGTAAGTCGACTGATAGGCGCGTTCAGCTTGTATTTGCCGGTGGCGCTTGGGTATATTTCTGGCAATACGCTGTCCCAGCCGCCATCACTATCCAAGATATCTTCTCCAGGTGTTGCTGTGCTGTACATCCTGACGGTCTGATCGGCCTCTGACCGGGCTTGCAGTATCTGATTGACAGACACCACACCGACTGCGATGGATCTCTTCAGCGTCTTCTGGTCTCTTGACAAAGCGCGGGCTCGCGTGCTTGCAGTCGCGGAAGAGCCTGGTCTCGCATCGGATGTCTGTGTCTGTGATCGGGACTGTTCGAGGCTCGGGCGATGGCGTTCATCCGAAGAATCTGTGTTTCGTGATTCGGTGTGTCGCGAGTTTGTTGACTCCTTCCGCTTGGAGCCGAACATGACGCTGCGCCTTCCTCCCTTGATGCTGCCCTGCTGGGAAGGCTGCACCGACCCCTTGCCTGGCGGTGTGTCCTTGCCCGTGCCTGCCTTCTCGGCTGCAGCCGGCGAGCGAAGTGGCTCGTTTGTCATCAGCCTGAAGACAAGATACAGAGTAGTGCCGGATCCTGCGCCCTCACCAATGTCGGTCAAGCTGAGATCCACAAGCAGTGCGCGCAGTTTGTCATTGCTCAGGGACACGGCTGATCCATCTCGCCCAGTCAAGTCGAATGAATACGCCTCGGAGAGTGGTTGTGGCGCTGATCCCGGCGTCTTCAGGCACAGGTACATGCTGATTTGAGCCGCGCCATTGACGACGTCTCCCGTCACATGTTTCAGACTGACGAACAAATGGTTTAGGTTGTGCTCGTCGACATGGGCTGTTGGTCGGCTGTCCAGTAGGCTCATCATCGACTGCAGTTTTGTGACTTCGATGGCCGAGTCGTCGCCCGTCAGGATGCGGCCGCGCTGCGAGGGACTCCGTACGATGACGTCTCCGCAGAGCATCTTATTGCCTGCCACAAGGTCCCAGACGGTCGCCTCGCGTACCTTTTCCAGCTCCTTGGCCGTGAGAACCTTGTGCAACAGCTGGCGGCGCGCCGTGTCCAGGCGGTTCACTAGCCGTGACATCTTGTCCAACGAGCCATACTTGCGTGCCAGTAGCAGCTCGTGCACCTTTGTGGAGTGCCATTCGCGAAGGCAGGAGGCGATCTCGTCGACCAATGGCTCCTGGGCGGAGGTGGGTGTCTCGTCGCCAATCTTCAGCATCGGTACTGGCGCGGGCGGTCGTGGAGCGGTCGGGTCGGATATGGGCGAGAGCGGGAGCATCAATTGCTGCAGATGCTCTTCGCGCGAGGTCCACTGCGAGTGGGTGCTGCCCGCGCGCTTTCGGGCAGACCTGTGGCGTGAGAGTGGGCGGGCCAGGGACGAGGGCAGTGCAGAGACGGCATCCGTCTTGGAGGCTCGTCGCGCATTCGGGCCAGAGCCTTTGGCAGAGGGAGAGGTCGCACGTGTGCTTTCGGTGGGCGTGACGATGCCGTTGGTCGGATGCGCGTAGTGGCTGCCACGACCCGAGTCGTGTCCAGCGTCCTGGTTCGCCGTGTCTTTGCTCTCGCCCAGGACTTCACGCACCTCGACGCACGATCGCGGGAATATGCCAGAGAAGACGCGTGCCTCGAGTGTCTGGCCCTTCACGCTCGTCAGGCCAGCCAGCAGCGAGGGCGGCGCAACCAGATATCCTCGATACCATGATGCATCCTGGCCGCCCTGCTCAATGATGTACAGCTCGTCACCGATCTCGAGGGGCAGGTCGGCGGGCGACGAGGGCTGGAAGGGGTATATGCATATTGCGAACGCGATGCGCGGGAGCGGTCTCCAGCTCGGCATGGCACCAGACGTGTCGGGCTATATTGGGGGGAGTCGGCGACAGAGCATCACGAGCAGTCGACGGTAGGATGTGTTTCGGGGGAGCTCTTCCAGAGAGTTTCAGATACGGGTGTTGGAGGGCGCGCTGCTCAAGGTGCCCCTGATGAGATTACCGAAGGAAATCTGGGGATATGTCCAAAACCTTATTATGGTAAGCGGGGCACGTCCGACGTTGAAGCAGGGCGAGGGTGATTACAATGTGGCTGTAGTAGTCTAGGGCAGACGGTCGCGTGCAAGAAGAAATTATGTACAGCAAACAAAAGTTTCGACTGCGCAATGTTGATAACCTTCGCTGCACCGTTCGGTAGCAGCCGTGCATGCAGGGCGCTCGGGGCACAGGCTTCGTATCATCACCAGCATGGCCCTGGCCTCGAGTGTTGGTATCATCATCACTCGACGCGTTCCATGTCATAGCGCCCAATATACGCGCATCTCACATGCATCGGCCCAAGATTCCGTCGCCGTGTCCATCTGCAACAGGACATCTCAATCTTGGAATCTCGCCGTTTTCGAACCACGTTGCCAGAAGGGAAAGGCAGGGGACGCTACAGCCGGTGTTTAATTGGTGAATAACCTTTGATGCACATCTCCCGCCTGTCTTGGCTTCATTTTGGGCCAACAACCTTCCAAAGCACGTGCGTCTTGCTTTTAACTCCACACCCGGCCAACGTTCATTTCAGACCAGGCAACGGTCCGAGCTCGCTGGATACTTCTCCTACATGACACGAACTGCGAATCTGTGTTCTGCAGTCGTCAGTCTTCCAGCCTTCCAGAATAGTCAGCACGCGATCTCCGCGCACAGAGCCACGAGGTGAAACCGCGACGGTGGAGCCACCTCCGATGGGGCTGCACACGCCGCAAACACGCGCGCGATGTGGCGTGCCATCATTTGGCTGTATGGCGGTGCACTAAGCCAGGCACTTGCCGTTAGGGTACATTGCGGCCACAGCGTCCATCACACGACCGTGAACGCATCCCACCGACCTTAACACCGTTGAACGACCATCGAAACACCGAGTTAATGGTCCACTCAGAGGAAGTGGATCACAGTATGGTGCCCGAGGACGGCGAGTGCCCTCCCACTTCACACGTGTGTCGTAAAGGAGTATCAGTGGGGCTACAGGCTTCGGAACCTGGGCCCTGGGCCCTGGGAAAACTTCTTACTAAAGTCGGGCTCTAGACGCTCTGATCTACATTAGAGCTTGTCAACGTACTGAGGAAATACAGATCTGCTCTGTACACGTCTGTACTGCAGTAGTCTGGTCGGAACAGTCCCGAGTTCTCCTCTGCAGTCTACGTACCCACTTTGGGATCTTGGGCCGCGAAAGAGACAGACGTATAGTGTAGGACATGGTCGTAAGTATGAAGATCAAGAAATACGCGATTTGCTTTTCCGTCAGGAAAATGTTTGACAGCACTTACTGACAGAATGTACTGACCCCATGTCGTGAACACGCCAGAGGTTCAACTGTTCATCGGCTTCGAGACTGGACACTGGAAGGACAAGAAGGTCCAACAAATCAGCGCAATCGAGCTCCCTAAGTACAGTCGCGACAACGTCGGATCTAGCTCTACGTGCATGCCATCCGCTCCGCGTTGCGGGCCGGCGCGCGCCTATGGACTCAAACTTGCTCATCTGGCGGCACCACATCTGCGCATCACGGTGCCTGGCGATCTTGGCCGACGTGCTTCTCAACTCTCTTAATGATGGTTCAGACCCAGAAAACACGATCTTGTATGGTCTGACAGCTGACGGCTGACATCTTCATTTCCGCTACAAGAGTAGTCTCCCACGTTTTCCACCCTTCTTTCCTTCTGAAACGTTCATACAAGCTGTTCTGCCACGAGTTATATCGATCGACACGGACACAGACATGAACATGGATATGCCTTCGGCCACCTCCGCTGATGCTCACGCACACCTCATGGCATCCATGCGTCCCGGGGCATCAATGTCAGCAATGGACATGTCGGGGATGGCATCGACCTTTTCGAGTAGCACCCGCGTCACGCTTTGGTTCACTGAATGGACGACGACGACAACGGCGACCTATGTGCTAACGATCTTCTTCCTCTTTTCATTGGGCATCTTCAATCGATTCCTGAGTGCTTTCAAGAGCCAACTGGAGAGAAAATGGAGGATGCAACAGCAGGCCGAGAGCACATCACAGTTCATGCCCAACACGGAGAAGCTGGTCAACCACAGTGTTCGTGGCCATGCACGGCAATGGAGCCGTGCGCTGCGACAACAGCCTCTCGAACTGGATGATAAGGACAGGCAAGAGATTGAGCCTTTGAGCCCAGTCGTACCACAACCAACTGCAGCGGAGGAGACTGGTATTACACGGGGCTCTACGGCATCACGTAAGACTTTCTGGGTGGCACAAGCACCCTGGAGCGCGAAGAAAGATGGCATAAGCGCTGCTTTGGAGTTTAGTCGCGCATTGATCGGCTACGTATTGTACGTTCGTGAACGAAACCTTTGAGAGCTGAGATACTAACGACGCAGTAGAATGCTTGCTGTTATGACTTACAACATCGGTTTCCTATTCGCTGTCACGGGAAGCGTACTTCTCGGCGAGCTGGTATTTGGGCGGTACACACGGGGTTCTGCAGGTCTAGCCGAGGATGGCTGCCATTCTTGAGTGGCACTTTATAGATACATACGAAGTGTAATGCGCGAAATACAGTTCAATGGCCTTTCGAAACTACGAAAACGGGTTCAGATGTAAACGCAGACTCACGTATCCAGCTTTCATATCTGGAGAAGACGACCCGATTTCATAATAACAGCAGCGTCGTCGATTTAACACGTTGAATACGAGATCTGCAACCTTAAATTTGTCGTCCGACATTCGCGAAACCGGTTTGCATTTTCGTGTTTGGTTTGTTGATCGAGTTGCTCATCCCAGCCCTTTACCATCCTCTTTTCGGTCCTCCTTTCGGTCCTCTTTCCGGCGGCAGTCACACCGCATCTGGGGTGGGGCACTTTAGGCAGCCATGCTGTCGTGTTCGACGCCGAACAAGAGACACTCACCACAACTTCTGACGCGGCAAACCTGCCGGACCAGAACATCATGGAGGTAAGTACGAGATTTCGACATTCCATCGCGTGCGCACTTGCCTTGGATGCGTCGCGAAGGCAGCCGGAACGCCGCCGATGAGCAAAACCATACAGGCTGAGAGCGACCAAGTTCTACCATCGATTGCCCATTGCGTCGCACTCGCTGACTGATTTTCAGGCTCTGCGCCGTCCGGCTGCGCATATAGTGTCGAAAGATACTATCGTCAATCCACTAGCTCCTCTTCCAGATGAGCTCATCCTGGAAATATGCGAGGTAAGTTATGCTCCGGGTCTTTTATAAGTACGTTCAAACGATAAGCTTTTTCGTGCAAGCAGATGTGTTGCATATACTGACTTCCGTTCTCACTCATATAGCGCGTTTTCCCGTGGGATGGATCTGCGCGATCAACTTGTGATAGAGCCTCAGCAAGGTCTACCTTTGCCGCTCTTGCTAGGACCTGCAAGTACCTGTATCTCTTCGGTATGCGATTCCTCTATGAGAGCTGCGAGATCTCCAATCCCGAAAACTTAAGCGGCTTCCTCCGCACATTACACGACCATCCTGAAATAGCGTCATACGTCCGCGAGCTGTTGATCGGCGGATCCTGCGACAGGAGTTTTGCAAGTGGCAATCATCTGAGCATGAGCAAGGCAGAGATGACTGCACATATCCGAACATTATCCCTTCCTTACGAAAGCACTTTGGTCGAGGCCGTTGCTCTTCATCCGGAAGAAGTAGAGCTGGCGCTTCTTGTCTTGGAGGCTCGCACCGCTCTCCAAGTCCTTTCCAGATTGCATCACCGTTATAGTAGTCGTGGTTACTGCTCTACTACTCCATTGTGGGATCTGCGTAGGCATGGATTCCATTCAGTACCTGAAGACGATGCACATACGCCTCATCGGTATCTCTGGCTTACTCCCTTGCTTCACGCAGCCCAGCAGTATGTAACTGCACCAGCCGATACATCAATTGGGTTCGCGAAACTCTGTTTTCTGTCACTCGACATGACAGGAATACCAATGGCTAAGATAGCTCCCGTATTACATCTGCCATCGCTCAGGACCTTGGAGCTTCACGACATATCATACGGTGTCCCAACAATTGGCATCGATCATGGGTCTTGGGATATACTTCCAAGGTCGTCTAAGGTGCAAAACATCTCCATAGTCTCGCCGTCCGAACCGCCATTAGATCACATAACACAGTTGTTACAATCATGTGCGACTGTGTCAAGCTTCCGATGTGATCGACCCGATAAACCCGATGACAACGTAGTGGATTGGCATTCCACACTTCTCGAAGCTGCAAGATCACATAGCGAAACCCTCGAAAAGCTCGAACTTCGGACCGACGAAAATGGTGCACTTACCTGGACGGACGAATGGCCGCGAAACTATTTTTTATCTGAAATGGAAGAATTAGAAGAACTGGAACTGCACTACACTGCCGTTGTGGGCAAACAACGAGGAATCCATTACGATGAACTACCGGAGACGCCAGAACCTGCCCGATCGCTCCGTGATCTACTGCCGCCAAATTTAGTTGAGTTAAGACTAAAGTATGATAGATCCGCTATGAACGCCAATGTCGACTACACCGCGGAGCTACGGGAACTTGTTCAAGACGATATAAACTTCCCCCGCAAGCTCAAAAAGGTGAGCGTTCATTACGTTCATGACGGTGTGCAGTTCACATTCCCCTTTTCGCTCCACAGCCTTCAGGAATACTTCAACGCACACGGTGTCGACTTTCACTATATTGTCAAGTGCGAGATAGACAATAAACGTAAGTGCTTCATGTACCCGTAAGCTCGGCACACTCTGATAGCTTTGTTGTAGATGAGCTGGACTACTTAGTGGCGACTCTGGCTGCCATGGGCCACGGGGGCGCTTATATGTGTAAATGGTTCATAACCGATGACAACTTTTGGATGACATCCGAAGCACTGCACGACAGGGTAATGGAAGAGATCAGAGCAGCTGAGAAACGCCAAGAGGCGCATTAGTCTGAGGCGACGATAATGACACGGCCACGATGGACTCAGAAAGCTTGGGTTTGATCAGCAAGCTGCGCCTACAAGCTGTATTCGATTGAACTGTCTCTAGGTCCTACACGCTTCATTTCCAGCTGTCTCCATCCCAAATCACCAAGTGACTTCCCCCGATCGTTGGAGGGGCGATCATACTCATGTCGGAAAACTGTAATCGATTCCAGAATTCTGCCACGCTGGCAGCCTTCATTGGCATCCAGCCAAAGTAACGTTGCGAACCAACTCGCGGGTTTCGCGAGACATGGTCTTCTGGACGGTAGTCGGCGTCCACAGCCTTGATGATGGAAGCGGTGGGGTCTGATAGAGCTTCGTCATCGGCAAAAAGGAATATTCGGTGTAGGTCGTAGTCCGTATTCATTGGTTGTTCGCCCTCGCCTTTATTGTACAGCTCGCGAAGTTGATCCACATCGAGACCAGCCAGCGCAGGGTCTGACCGCGCATCGAGGCGGAAGAGCGCCCACACTTGTTGGAAGCCAGATTCGTCTTCTTCGGTTCCAGTCGCTTCTAGAGCCCCTTCGCGCGCATCGGTTTGGATCTTTTGGAGAAGTCGCTGCCATTGCTGATCAGATGAAGGTCCGTATCCCGTACGGTAGATAGTAAAGCCCCAGTTCCTGTGGCGGACAAATTCATCGTCTTCATAGACGCAGAGATTCTTTATCCATTCTTTGACGGTGGTAGTCATTGGGGAAGGAAAGGAAGATGTTTTAAATTCGGAGAAATACGGATGGAGAGATTGTAATGAGATGCGAATGCAATCGTTTCGAGATATAACCGCTTGATTGAAGATTTATGTAACCACACGGGGTTTGACGTGTTTATAGCGTTCACATTACAAGAGTTGAGGCCTGAATACCTAGGCAGCCATCTGCGGGTGGGTCTGCGCACAGACAGTGCTGCCTTGCGACTCTCCTGCATAGGCAGGTATATATTTGAAGTGCGCGGGCGAGGTTTGAAGGTAATTTAGGTTTTTAGATATATTCATAGCAAAGGTACTCAGATATTCTATGAATCAATTCCTTGGCCAAGTATTGGTTGACAAGGTTGCGCCAATCCATGGGTACCAAACTTCGCGAACTTCCCAGCCACCATATGGACCCTATCAACGACGCTTCAATGCAACTCATACCCAATGAAAATTTGGACTCGTGCGCGTGGGCGATTTCATGTTGCGAATGCAAGGTCCTTGTCTCTTTTTTCTTTCGCACACTACGACCTTTGCCAGATCATAGCACCACCTGGGCACTTCAAGACGGATGAAGAAGATTCGCAAACAAATACGACAATAAATGCACCGCATTTTCTTCTCTCAAGATGCCTTCGCAACTACCTCGCTCAAGGACCCGGATTGATTTCGTCCCGAAAGTGCGCCGACCACGCGAAAAAAGGTCACATGCGTCGCTGCGAAAAAGCACCCTTACTGCTGTTTGCAAGAGCACAATGCTGGAAGTACCGCCCAGACAAGAGCCCAATCATGGTCTGCAGTACTTCCCTCTATGGCTAGCTGCTAAGGCAATCTGGCTCGGGATGGACTGGTGCCTCAATCAGGCCTTCGACGGTTTGGAAGCTATAGCGAGATTGCGAAGGAATGGGATTCAGAATCAAGAGATGGACTACCTAGCGAATACCAACTAGCAGAGGGAAATATTCCAACAGTAAGGAAAGAGATTTAGAGATTATACAGTATTTCCGCTAAGCCTACCCAGCGACCGATATACGCCCGACTCCTCTGATCACATCAATATTACCATGGCCATCAGCAGACTTTACTTTCCACCACCGATCACGCCCACTGCCCTCCGCTGAGCCGTGCCCCTACAGACAGGCGTCTCATCTCGTATCGCCTGCGGCGGGATGCGATACATGACCAGATACTCACCATAATGCAACCACTCCGCTGCTACCTCTTTGCTACCGGCGGCATCCTTCAGCAGGTCCGCAGCGCGAAACACTGGACCTCTAGCAAAGTGCGCGGGATCTACGGTAACAACCCAGGTGTCCTCGCCATAGCGCTCTCCGAAGTGCTTGGCGACGGCTTCTGCATGGGCTAGGTTGTCGTACACGCTGATGAAGGGGGAAGAGATGTTGGTTTGTTGGTTCAGGTGGGCGAGACCGAAACGGGATAGTGCGGATGTGTAGTTGACGATGGTGGTTTGGTTCTTGGAACTGAAGCCGGTGGAGAAGGCGTAGCGGGTCTGTGAGCTAGTGCGATGAACGCGGTAGACCAGTGTCGGTATGGCGGTTGGGGCGGGGGGTGGTGTCGGTGATGCATGGATCGGATGGGGTTGTGTAAGAGTGTAAAGTGCTATTTGTATATCAGTATATCTATTCGGGGTGTGTGCGAGGGTTCGGAGGTTTACCTGTCATGATGGAGTTGTAATTGATGTGTCTTCAAAGCAGCAAGTTGTAGCGAATATGAGATGTTGCCGACTGGATATACTGTCCACGTCAAACCCGCTTGTAGTGTCTTTGAGGTCTACTGAAAGTAAGTGACAGACGACTCTGAAATTCGGAACTGTATGGTGGAAGCTGTTGCGTTCAAGAGAAGTCTTTTATGCCTCCATATGTCAGTCTAACGTACAGTCCCAAGAGACCGGTCAACGAGGCCATTCAAACGGTACAAATGCATTTGAATCAGGAGTTCGTTGGTCATGTTGACTTTCCTTCCGCCGACGGGCATGTACATCGTTTCGTCTGTTCGAGTGTTGACTACCCGAGAGTCAACAAAGAGACAACGAGATCCCACGCTCGGTGCCGTCGGCAGGCCCAACCGGGTTGTGGGGACGGTCACAATACATTCAGTCCTGAGGTACCGTACCGTTGCTACCTTTTTCGTTTGGTGACGGGGGCAAGGCCAGGTGCATGTGGAACGTATCGTCGGTGTCATTGCTTCGAATGCCCTTTCTTCATCGCTATCCGTTTGGTATGCAGATCGCGGTATCTTGCATGACCGCATAATGCGGATTGTGCATCAGGCGTATCGACGCGAAGGTCCTCTTAGCGAGGCACGTTTGGACCTTTAGTATGCTCCGATGCGGAGAACACCGCCATGAATGATGGTTTGAGACCCTCGTGGTAGCGGATATTAAGGGACGGGCTATTGACGGGAGGTGCCTTAGAAAACACATAACTGCAGACATAACGGGTTTGGTGTTTGACAAGAATACTAGATTCGACATGGAGACGTCATCTTTCCAAAAATCTGCCAGGAAAAGACTGGACGAAAGATAGAATTTTTGAGACATGGCTTTCTGTGCCGCTGGAAGCGTCAAGGCATCGGACCGATGTGTCGTTTCCTTGAAATCCGATATTGGGGTCGTACAGCCAAACGGGCAGACGCATCTAGTGGAGCGTCAGGCATTACATCCTATTTGCCGTATGCACCGTATTGTAGAAAGGGACGTGCAGTCCCTCCCGAGTACCGAATGCACATCGGGGATGGAATATCACAGTACCGCATCCAGGGGCGCGGGAGGAAGGCGACCTGCGTGGCGTAGTGACGACACCTGTCGATAGGTTCTCACCGCTCCTTCTCCAGACGGCGCCGGTGGAATCGAGCTGACCATAACGCGATTGACATTCATGATGGAAGATGGGTGCGAAGACAGAAGTGAAGGTCCCACAAGTGGTTCGGCATCCGCCCCGCGTGGGCCTAAGCTATTTCGGGACAAGCGTCGCATTCCGAGGTCTCCAGAAGTCCGAAAAGTTGGTGGTGACAATCGCAGGCGCGCAGGCGGGCATCAACGTTACATCGCCTTACAAACGGTATGTGAAGCTGCTCAAGACATGAACACTTCAATCTGACGTCTAGGTAGTTAATCTGACTCCGTGTCGCCGCAGGGCCCACGCCAAACGCCACGCCAAACCCATCCAAAGCCACTCGCAAACGCACCGAGACCTCGCGTCGAAGCCACCAACTCTCTACATCACATACCCACCATGTCTTATTTCCGGATAACACTCATGCGCTCCGGCATCGGTATGCCCGAGAAGACGCAGGGAGTACTCAAAGCGCTCGGTCTCCGCAAACGCATGACGACAGTCTACCACCCCGTTACACAATCTGTCGCTGGTCAGATCATGAGGATAAAGGAGTTGGTCGATGTCAAAGAGGTCAAGAACCCAATGACGAAGGACCAAATGCGCGCTGCGAGAAGACCGGATCCGGGGTACTATATTGAGCAGAGGGCGGGCGAGGCTATGGGGGCGTACGAATAAACGTGAAGAGATGGAAATTAGATATGGTCGTGGCATGTAAAATAAGGTACGAAGATGTATGCATATATGGCGTTTAGGGGCATAGTACTACACGGTCAGTTGAAGAAGAGGCTGGTGTGCTATGTGCATCATATACTCGGGGATCGAACAAAATATCCAAGGCGCTCACCCTTCTCACCAATTGACAAGCAGTTCGCATACATCATCACTTCGGGTTATTCTTCAAGTTTCGGTTGGAAGTCAGAATAGTCAGTCTTCGCGTGCCTTACCGCATGAACCTGTCTGCTACCTCAAGACGGTTCACACCATGACGCCGATCCATCCGTTACCAGACATTCACTTGTGCACCTCCGATCCGCCGTACAAACAGCAGTCTTTCAAGATTGGTATTCGACCAATAGCATCATGTGTTCGCTTGGACAATTCTGCAGCCTGGCTGACACATCACAGCTGAAAACCCCGCATCAGACTGCGTCGTGAACAGCCGCTTCTTTTGGCTTCACTTTCCATCATATAACCCGGCGATGAACCAAAGAGCGTGGTTATTCGCGATACGTGGGAATCATGAAGAACATAAGACAGACTCACCACCGCCAAGGAAAGCCTGCCACAAAGCCAATGAGACGAGGCGACTATCTGTTTGAGACCCAGACACAACAAGACAATAGTCTCTTGCCTACTACGACTCAGCAAGCTATCGATCGTTTCCAAGCGCTCCTGGGACAGACTAGCCCTTCCCCACATATCGCAGATCAAAAGGTAGCATCAACGAAAGAGGGTTCCGTAGCCGAGCATTGCTAATCTGCACAGAATGACGCGACAAGAAATAAGACCCTCGAGGAAAGGAGGCGATATGTTGAGGGAATCTATCGAGAACAACCCTCCACAGGCCAGTCAGCGAACCGCTTTACCATCACTACCGGCGGCATAAAGCTTGGAACAAGCATTGCACATGCCGGTGCCGCTGAAGGAATTACATTCGCCGATTCAGATTTCGCTACTACAGGGAGCAGCTCTGTGAAGACTTCTGATGCAAGGGAATTCGTGTATACAGAGCTGCAAGCAACAACTGATTTCCGGCTGATCAAGGTCTTACCGAAACGTGGACAAGGCTTAAAGTGCGAAATCGTCCACGGTTCGCTTCTCCATCCACCAGATTATATTGCAATATCTTATGCATGGGGAGACGGCTTTGATAAGAGAAAAATGACCTTGGATGGCTTGACACATATTTCAGTCAACGCGAATCTCTACGATGCCTTAGTGGCTATCCGCGAACCAGACCACGCCGTTCTTGTTTGGATAGACGGACTCTCGATTGACCAAGAGAATAAAGTCGAGCGTTCCAAGCAGGTTCAGTTGATGGACAAGATATATCGACAGGCAACATGTGTTGCCATTTGGCTTGGACGAGAAGTGGATAACAGCGGGCAGGCGATGCAACTAATAGGGAAATTGAGCGCCTACAAAGCGACAAGTGAATGGACCAGCCTTTTGGAACATGGTGACTACAAAGCTTTGCACACTCTCTTCCGGAGGAACTATTGGAGTCGGCTTTGGGTTGTGCAGGAAGTATATTACGCACAGAGCAAGATAGTCTGCTGCGGTTCTTCCAAACTCCCCTGGGACCTACATAAGAGAGCATCAGATACTCTTTGGCAACACGAAAGCGACCCTTACCTCTGGACGGGACCGAGTAGCTTTCCAGATGTCCAACGTCTCATGGCGCTGGGTCCAAACTCTCTGTTAGAAGTTTTGCGAGCTTGCCGGAGGAAGCTGAGCGAGAACCCGAGAGATAAGGTATTCGGTGTGCTAGGCATACTTCCACAAGACATACGCGAACGCCTAAATGTGAGCTATGACAAAACTGTCAAGTCTCTATACCTGGAAGTCACCCAACTCATCGTTCGGTCCACGCATCGCCTTGATGTGATGCGCGAAGCGATCCACTTTCCTGTTCAGGTCAACTTTACTGATTTGCCCACATGGTGTCCAAACTGGGCACAGGTTCCAGAAAACTCGGCCTTATCCTCGGAGAACTTCTCGGCGGCGGGCTACAGCGACGCCGAATGCGAGTTCAAGGACGAGTTGCGGAAGCTTGAGATCTCTGCCATTGAAATGGATATCATCGATACGACGGGCGTGGCAGTGGGCACTCTGTGCTCTCTACAAGATTATCTCATGGCCTTTCTGAATTGGCGGGTGCTGCTTCTCTCTCGTTTCAACATTACAGAAGACGAAGAGTCGGACCATCCGCGCGTAGACGACTTCTGCAAAACGCTCTCATTGGGTCAGCCACTTGAAGAACTAGAGCATTGTTGGACGAGAGCCTGCTATTATATGTTCTCTTCATGGACCCAGGAGATATTCCCACGACTTCAGCTGGACTCTAAGTTCAAACAACAAGGGGAGTCAGACAACCCGCAACTCTATGAGCTACGATCATTCATACAAAAGAACTTCGGTAACAGAATGGTACGTTCAGAGTTTCTGTCTCAATGTCTCTGCTAACGTATTGTGTTATCTACAGATGGGTAGAACCTTCTGCATTACGATGGACGGATTGATGGGCATGGGAACTGGTTTCATGAGTCGCACAGACGTCGTTGTTGTGCCGTTTGGTTGTTCAACACCCATTATACTCCGCCTGGATGGTCAAAGCAATGAGTATCGCTACGTTGGGGACGTCTATATCCATGGTTATATGCATGGCGAAGCTCTCACAAGCGACAAGCCAGTCAAAAAGTACACGCTACACTGAAACGTCGATAGCTCATCAGATCTTCCTTTGAAGACTCGATCCAAAACTCTACGCAACCACCACAGGCCCAATACCAAACAGATCCAACTCCCTATTCTGCACCCAAACACCTCTCGCAATATTTCTACCAACCCAAGGCTCAAGGCTCCACCCCAACGCGCCCACCATCCACACAAAGCCGACCACACGCCAAAACAACCCATCCTTGAACCCCATCGCCTTCCCCAAGTCAATAACATGATCCTCCACCATAATGATCGCCGCCTGCAACAAAAAGCACCACAACGCGCCGTCGTCATCAAACTCGCAATTCACCAACATGCTCGCTACCCCATGCACCAACCCCGAGATACCAAACGCAACGAAAAGCTGAACATACTTGGACGCA